TGAATTCTCTCTTAATAAAAACAAAAATATCAGATTAGAAATTAATAAAGAAAAAAATCATTTAGTGGTTCCCTTTATTGAGGGCATTTCTGAAAAAGTGATGGATGTTATTGATGTCTCTAATACTTTGATAGGCCATAGTACCTTAAATAGATTGGATAAATTCATTAAAGTTCAGAAAGATATTACCAACAAGATTTGCAAAAACCATGTGGTTTATAAAATTAAATGCAGAGATTGTGAGTCCACTTATGTGGGCCAGACAAAAAGACAGTTGCAAACTAGAATTAAAGAACACAGAAATAACATAAGATTGGATTCGTCTAAACACTCAGTAATCTCTCAACATATTATTGATTATGGTCATAATTTTGATTGGGAAAATGTTGACATTATGGATGTTGAACACAATTACAAAAAAAGATTGATTTCAGAGATGTCACACATTAAAGAACAACCAAAAGGGTTGAATTATATGAGAGATACTGAGCTGTTGAGTGAATGTTATACTTCTATTTTAAATGAGATTTCGACACGGAAATATTCAAAATTGTAAGATATTGTTAACCAATTACAACCTTATTTTCTCGTGTAGAAAAATTGTTATTCCCAATGAGATTGTGATTATTTCCGTTATCGTCATCCAGTTATATTATTGTTTGTAATTGAGTTTGTCGGTTGACTTTCATTTATTTCTGTTCGTTCATTACATTGTTGTCATGAGATACTTCAACATGTTATATGACGTTGCTCTTCTTCTTTTTAATTTGAAAGCTTTTTAAGGAATGGACAATGTAAGTTTTTTAGTTTGCATTAATAGCTTATTAAGATTTATGATGACTTAATTTTGGTATTTATGATTGTATCTAGATTTGTTTGACATATTTGAATTTCTCGCTTCTAAACGATCAAATTCTAATTTTGGATTATGACTAAATTGATTGATGAGACTGTTATGGGATTGAAAAGAAGAAGGACACCACAAAAGGAGGTTATTCCTGGTTCATAATTTAATTGTTACCGAAATTTATGGTTCCATCTAATTAACGACTGAATAAATTTATTGTAATTCACTGATGAAGGCTCTGTGTAGCCGAAACGTTTGAATATTCATGTATGATGTCTTATGTAAGATTATATTAAAACTAAATTTTATAATTTTTTTATTTTTTAAGATCTAATTGACGTCTTATGTAAGTTTATATTAAGATTAAATTTTATAATTCTTTAATTTTTAAGATCTAATTGTTGCTCGTAAGGGTCGTTCACTTATTGTTGTTTATAAATATATTTTATAATATAACTTTCATTTTTTAAATTACTTTCCTATTTATAAGCATTTAAATTTAAATAATAAGCGTTTTTTAAAAAAGAATTACTGTGAATTAATGTCACAGTACAAAGAAGGAAATGACATAATGCTATCATTTCCACATCACCTTGCGGTAGATAGCATGATGCGTTTTTTTAATAGTGGTTTCCCAATAGGCATACTCCACTTCGATTATTGTATAATAAATTTTTTTTAATAGTCGATTAGATAATAAATGTTTGAAATGTCTTCTAAATATATTTTGTTGTTCAAAGTTCTTTCGGAGTTCTAGCATTTTATTCGTAATATGTATTAAAATTTTTTTATTAAAAATGTCGTTGCTAGAGTTGGCAGGGCGTATGAGATAACACAAGCTCGAGTTTGATACCACAAAAGAATAGGTTTATTATTAGAGTCGAGTACGAGTGCGATACGGTACATCGGCACAAAGAGAATGACGAAAGAACGCAGATCAACGGCATGAACGATTTAAACCTGCGCATGACAAAACACTCGGTACATATTCGCAGATAGCGTGTACAATTGCTCGTGTATCGCATTTACTGACTTCAACACTTCCCCTCGAGACTCGGGCAACAGTTGACTTCGATATCGCCTAACTTTAAACCTAATAATTCGGCGCACTTGCGATGCTTAGATTTACATAATCCCTTTGTCAAAACGTCAGCGACCATGTTCTCTGTCGGCACATAAGCAATCTCGATGTGACCGCTCTGTAGTGCTCCTCGCACGAAGTGGTGTCTCACATCGATGTGTTTCGATCGATTGTGGTGAACAGAATTCTCTGCCAGCTTGATGGCTCCACAGTTATCGCTGAATAGCTTCACCTTTTGATCATTTTCCATGCCGAGCTCCATAAGAAAGCTACGAAGATATACAGCTTCCTTGGTGGCTTCACTTAAGGCCATATACTCGGCCTCTGTTGATGAGAGCGCGGTAGTTTGCTGTTTTCTTGACTCCCACGTCACAGGACCTTCCGCCAGGTGAAGGTGAAGCCTGTGTAGGATTTCCTGTCATCTAAACAGTTTGCCCAATCGGCATCTACATAGCCGATGTGTGATCTGGTCGTCTTCTTGAATGATAGTCCGACGTTTCTGGTACCCTTCAAATATCTCAATACACGTTTGGCAGCTGACCAATGAGTCGAGTCATTACAATCATTGTATTGGCTTAAATAGCTGACCGCGTGAGCAATGTCGGGTCTGGTACATACTGCCAAATATATCATGGCTCCGACCAGTTCACGATAGGGAGGAGCACCGCTCCCCGCAACTGACTCTTCGCTTCTTCTCAGTTCGTTCCAGGATCCAACGGAGTTCCTACGGGTTTCGATTCCAGCATTCCAAAGCGTCGCAAAACATCGTCCAAGTATCCCTTTTGGCTTAACGACACTGTTCTTTTGCTCTGAGAGAATTCAATCCCGAGACAGTATTTTACTGCTCCCATGTTCCTGACCTGAAATTTGGTTGACAAAAAATAAAATATTTTGGAAACGTCCTTGTCGTTTCTCGATGCGATGATCATGTCGTCTACGTATACCACGATTATCATGATATTTTCCCCTCGACCGTGATAGAATATGCAGGGATCGAAACTGGATTGAGTGCACCCGTAATTCTTGAGGGTCTCACTCAGCCAACCTCACATGCCAACGTCGTCCGGCTTGACGCAGTCCGTAAAGGGCCTTCTTCAATAAAAGTACTTTGTCCCCGCGGCCGAGCTCTTTGAGCATTTCAACAGACGCCTTGCTTCCTTTTCTTTCTCCGTCGGCGACTCTTTCTAAGATCATCTCAAAATTCTGGGGACACTCCATGAAGATTTCCTCCTCGAGTTCGCCGTTTAAATACGCAGTTGTGACATCGAACTGACTCATCGACAGTTGATGTTGAGCGGCGAGTGCTGCTACCATTCGAATAGAGCTTATGCGAGCTACTGGTGCGAACGTGTGTCTGAAGTCTACACCGGGGCGCTGTGAATAACTTTTCAGCACCAATCGGGTCTTCCGCCGTTCTAAAGTTCCATCACTGTTGTGCTTATTTCTGAGTACAAATCGACTGCCAACGATTTCTCGATTCTCGAGACGATTAACAACGGTTGTTGCGTAAACGGAGAATGAGATTTCAACGCTTTATACTTATTTCAAATTAACTTGTTGCTTTCACGGAGATACAAGATGTGTCGATGCGAAGGAGGTCACACGTCGAATTACTCTCGAATCTTCTCGCTGTTTCGTCGCGGAAAACGAACTTGTGCTCCCCCTGTGCGTACCGAGAGTTCTGTACGCCCTCTCCAATGATACGTGTCGCGCCGAAAGCAATTAGGCATGCGATCATGACGCGAGACCGTGCAAGCCGCGAATACAATCCTCGCGGACGGTGACTGATACATGAAATGAATGATGAACGTTTGACTAATTATTATACAACGCCGCCGCCCTTGAAAGGCTCCGCTTTCAAAATGTAAACCAAAGATGAAACAGCCTTTGAAACGAATTAACGTTAAGAGTTGACAACTGCGCGACGCTGCATGCTTGATGTATGCAAACGCAAACAATTTCGATGTGCTTAACCTAAGTTGAGTATGATAACATGATAACGTTGCGCGAAAACAAAAACATATTTGATGTCTAGCGTTTCTCGCTGGAGTCATCTATAGGTAATATTGCTATTCTAGTTAACGGTCTTGTAAGAATGCCCTTTGCTGTTTTTATCTCAGCGGTTCTTACAACGCCGTCTGTGCCTGGATGAACGCCTTGTACGCGCCCTAACAGCCAATGCAGAGGGTGTAACCCCTGTTGTTTTATTAATACGACTTGACCGATCTTTAATTGATCCCCCTTGCTAATCTTCCATTTGGAACGCGCTTGTAAGGTGTGGAGGTATTCTGAACTCCACCGTCGCCAGAAATGTTGCCTTAATTGTTCTACGCGTTGCCAACGAACGAGCCTATTTTCGCTTATGTCGCTCAAATCGTGGCAAGGAAAACTGTCTACGGTAGTGCCGATTAGAAAATGTCCGGGGCTCAAATAAGCGAGGTCATTGGGATCTTCGCTCAATGGAGCGATGGGCCGTGAATTTAATATCGCTTCTACATCGCACAAAATAGTCTGCATCTCTTCGAAAGTTAGATGAGCATTGCTGATTATACGATATAAATGGAATTTTGCCGATTTTATCGTGGCTTCCCAGAGTCCTCCACAATGTGGAGCGTTGGGTGGTATGAAGTTCCATGTTATTTGCTGTTCGCGCAAAAATAACTGGATTTCATTTTGTGTGCACTCTTTTTCAAGAAAATTAGAGAATTCGCGCAAACGATGACGGGAACCTACGAAAGTAGTGCCATTGTCTGACCACATGTGGGAAGGCTTTCCTCTGCGCGATATAAATCCTTTTGAAGGCTGCTAAAAACGTGTCGGTGGTTAAATCACTGACTAGTTCTATGTGTACCGCTTTGGTAGCGAAGCATACGAACATGGCGATGTATGCCTTGTGAGTATGCGCGTTTCTGCGTTTTCCTTCTCGCAGAGTTAACGGACCGGCGTAATCCACGCCGTAATATGAGAATGGTCGGCAAACAGTGATGCGACTAGGAGGTAAGGAGCTCATAATGGTTTCTGAATGAACAGGCTTAACCTTGAAACATTTAACGCACCTTAAAATGATTTTTCGTGTTAGAGATCGCAATGATAAAGGCCAAAATTGTAGTCGGCCGGCGGCCATCGTTGCCTGGGTGCCGGCATGTAAGCTACGTACATGCGCTTGCGTGATGATTCGTCTTGATAGCTCGTGATTTTTCGGTAGCAGCACCGGGTGACGCGCGTCCTGTGTTAGATTTGAATGCCTTAATCGACCTCCAACTTTAATTAATCCATCGTCGAGAAATGGATTGAGTGTCAAAATCCCGCTGGATGTACTGAGGCTCTTGTTGCTGCTCAAGGCCTTGTACTCCTCGGGAAATGAATGCTGTTGCACAACCTTGCACATTAGTTGCAATGCTGCCGTGGTTTCTTCGTGAGAGACGAAATGTGTTGTAATGCCTGCAGGTCTTCGTAAGAACCTCAAGCAATATGCCACAACACGACAGGCTCTGTCAAGGTTTGAATGACTGTTGAGTATGTCTTCTATGACACTGGTGTCAACGACTGCAATGTTAACGTATATTTTTCGAAGTTCGGAGGTGTCCTCCTGACGTAGAAATTGATTGGTGGGCCAGAAATTCTCATTGTGTTGCAGAAAGTCGGGACCCTTCCACCAAGTGGTTGCATGAATTAAGTCGCTTGGATTTGAACCTCGTGAAAGTAAGTCGGCTGGATTTTGACCGGACGGTACGTGTCGCCAATCCGTCGCTTGAGTCAACCGTTGAATTTCTCCTATGCGGTTTGCAACGAAAACTGAAAACATGCGTGATTCTGAGGATATCCAGCTCAATGTAATTGTTGAATCCGACCATAGATACACCTTGATGTCAGACGTATCTATTGACAATCGAACCTTGTCCATCAGCCGTGCCAGTAGAAGCGCTGCAGATAGTTCCAACCTTGGCAATGATACAGCCTTCAACGGCGCAATCCTTGATTTGGAGCAAAGAAGTTCTGAACGATACTTGTTCGCATCGAGCTCAGTCCGTATGTACACGCAGGCTCCATATGCATTTTGACTGGCATCACAGAAGCCATGTATTTGTATATGTCGACGTTTAATGCTGTATTTGACGTGTCTGGGAATTGCTAGTCGGTTGAGCTCCGTCAACTGCGACTTGAAGGTAATCCATCGTGCGTGTAAGTTCTGAGGAACTGACTCGTCCCAATCGATGCCTGCTCGCCAGAGATCTTGTAGTATCAACTTGGCGATGACGATGATTGGACCAAGTAAGCCTAACGGATCGTATAATTTGGAAACGTCCGATAGAATTTTCGGTTTTGAAATTGCGTCATGTGACATGACCGGGTCGTATGAAAAATGTAGCGTGTCTGTGTTGGCGTTCCATTTGATCCCCAAGATGTGGGCGCTTTCGTCGTCGTCGATGACAACGGGTTTGTCATTTTTATTGAGTGTTGCGTCCAGCAATTCCGGGGTGTTGGAAGCCCATTTTCCAAGCTCAAATGCGCCTAGCCTTAATAGTTCGATCGTTTCATCTCGAAGAGTCTCCGCTTCTTGGACGGTGTCTGCACCGGTTAGTAGATCGTCGACGTAGAAGTCGCGCCTTATACACGCTGATCCAATGGGAAACGTAGATGAGTGATGATCGGCTAGATGTTTGATGCACCTGGTTGTGAGAAAAGAAGCCGATGACGTGCCATAGGTCACTGTCATCAGTTCGTATGTCTTGATGTCCGCCTTGGAGTCGCTGCGCCACAAAATTCTTTGAAGAGATGTTTGCGAAGGGTGTATGAGCACCTGTCGGTACATTTTTATGATGTCTGCGATCAAAGCGTGAACGAAGGTGCGGAATCGCATCACGATTGACATCAAATCTTGCTGCACCACTGGGCCGACTCTCAAAACGTCGTTTAATGATAATCCTGTGTCGCTCTTACTTGAAGCGTCGAAAACGACACGAATCTTGGATGATTGTTTAGCGCCTTTGAAGACGCCATGATGAGGCAAGTAGAAAGATGCTGTATCCTCAAGTGGAGACACGCTGACTTCCTTCATGTGTCCTAGCTTTAAATATTCGTCCATGAAGCGGACATATTGGTCCCTTAAGTTGGGATCTCGTATGAACCGACGCTCTGTTCCTTGTAAGCGTCGTAATGCGATGTCCCTTGTGCTGCCAAGGTTACCGATTAATTCTTCCTTGATTGGAAGTTTTACTATGTATCTGCCCTGTTCGTTCTGGTCCACGTTAGCTTCGAAATGCTCCTCGCAGTAAGCATCGTCCTTGTTGTTTACGACTTGATTGTCGAGATGTTCAATTTGCCAGAACCGTGTTAGTTGATCGTGCAGTTGAGCATTGGATATGACTGTGGTGAATGCTCGCACGTTTTCTGCAGGCGCCGCTGTGATGCTGCGACGTCCAGCCAGAATCCATCCTAGTCTCGTTTTTTGTAGAGTTGGATGGCTGTGAGTGGCCTCGATTTGTCCTATGCAAAGTAGCTCCCAAAATATTTCTGCTCCGATCAAAATGTCGACCTTGGAGGAAACGTTGAAATGGGGGTCCGCTAGCTTGAGGTTTCGAGGAATGTTGTAGTCTCCACGCCTTGAAGTAGTCAGTGGAAGCTTCTCGGTTATCCGCTTTGTTACTATGCAGTCTATCGTCCTACAATAAGAATTTAATCTGGATTGCAGTGTTACCTTGGTTGCCATTGTAGCATTTGATGAGGTACTGTTGACACCAGATATTGTGACGTTTAGCGGGCGTAGTGGTAAACCAAGAGTTGCGGCGAGTTGTCTAGAAATGAAACTTGCTTGAGATCCTGAATCTAGTAAAGCTCGACATGAATGTGATGTGCCATCGGAGGCTATGACATTGACCACAGCTGTGGAAAGCATTATGTGATCTTTGCCTTGAATGTTCGACGAATGTGTCGTCACGGCTGTCGTGGAATTTTGTATGCTTGATTCCCCTGTGCCGGAAGTGCCGGAGTGATCCTCCGCCGAGCTGGTGCAACAACGTATTGTGTTTGATATTGCAAATTTTGCAACCTCTAGATGTGCATTTGTCCAATGAATGCATCGGAGAGCGGAGACAGTTGACGCATAGTTTGCGATTGCGTACCTCTACCGCCCGTTGCTTGATTGGCAGTGCCAAAAACTCCTTGCAATAATACATGGGATGCTCGCCCTTGCAATAGTTGCACTTGGATTTGACTGTTGCTGCACATGTAGATTGTCGTTTTGCGTTGGTTTGTGAATTTTTGTTGGTGTCCTTGGAAGCGAGACTGACCTTGTTTGTGGTCTCTAACACCAAACAATGTTGAGAAATAAAATCGTTAAATTGTTTAAATGTGGGAGTTTCAGTACCTGTTAAAGAGGACTGCCATTCTCGTAATGTACGTGGATCGAATTTTGAGGTTAGAATGTATACTAACAGATCGTCCCAGTGCGCCGTGGGACATTTAAGTGCCTTGAGGGCTTGAACATGTCGGATTGCCCCGTCCGCGATTCGACGCAGCTCGGTTGAATCTTCCTTGGTGAGCGAGGGTAAATCTAATATTGCTTTAATGTGCGTGTGAACGATCATTCGTCTGTTATCATAACGTTCCTTTAAAATATCCCATGCTATTTGATAATTTGCGGCGGAAATTTCTAATGCACTGATTACGCCACTCGCGTCACCGGTAAGTGTAGACTTTAAGTATTGTAACTTTTGTACGTCACTGATTGACGCGTTTGAATGTATAATTGAATTAAATGAATCGTAGAATGGAAACCATTCATCGTATTTGCCGGAAAACGTTGGAAGATTCAACTTGGGCAATCTAACACTGCAATGATTTTCCGATCGATTGAATGCGCTCGACGTAGACGGTGAATACGGTTGTGTCGGTTGCGCCCGCGGAGCTGATAATGGATTAAGAAGTTCGCGAATCTTTGCGCAAAGCGAATAATACGCTTCCTCGAAGCCGATCCGGTCATTGCCCTCATTTTCGTCAAGCAATTCTATCTCCGCTTGTATTGCGTTGTATTGTGACCAATATTCGTCTAACTTGATTCTACGTTCCTCAAGCTGAGCAGCAATAGCCGGAGTGGCAAAAGAAATCGCGTCGATATATGTGTGAATCCGCGTGCACGCGCCTTTAACGATCGCTCTATGTTTTTTGAGCACACTGATATCTTGCGCAGACGTCATCGCGAGCTAACCTGCTTGAAACAGACGTAACAAGGAACTTCGTCGGCACTACCGCGAACAGTTTTCCTTACCGGTACTGCGCAGCCGCGCTTTTGTTGACGACTTCCGGTGGCGACCTCCTCGTGGAAGCGGCCTTGAATGTACTGTCCTCGGCGTGCCTCTGAATGATGGTGGCAGCTGACGATGAGAATGCAGCTCGTGGTCCGTAGCTCTGACACCTTGAGGTTATGAGCCGCGCTCGAGCGTTGAGATGAGTAGAGGATGGCGGGGGGTTTCGTCTCTCAGAGACGGAATGCCTTCCCCTCGCACGAAGTTCCGCCGTTGTCGACGGGATTCCTTCCTGCTTCCCCTTGGATGAAGTTCCGCCGTTGTCGGCGGGATACCTTCCTTCCTTCGACGTGGAATCCTTGCTTGTGGATGGCGGGATACCTTCCTTCCTTGGCGATGGAAGTTCCGCTTATGGATGGCGGGATACCTTCCTTCCTTGGTGATGGAAGTTCCGCTTATTGATGATTGTATCTCCAGTGAACGCGGATGACTTAGAGTATCCGGCTCGAAGGACCAAAAACACGATGTTGCGTAAACGGAGAATGAGATTTCAACGCTTTACACTTATTTCAAATTAACTTGTTGCTTTCACGGAGATACAAGATGTGTCGATGCGAAGAAGGTCACACGTCGAATTACTCTCGAATCTTCTCGCTGTTTCGTCGCGGAAAACGAACTCGTGCTCCCCCTGTGCGTACCCGAGAGTTCTGTACGCCCTCTCCAATGATACGTGTCGCGCCGAAAGCAATTAGGCATGCGATCATGACGCGAGACCGTGCAAGCCGCGAATACAATCCTCGCGGACGGTGACTGATACATGAAATGAATGATGAACGTTTGACTAATTATTATACAACGGTCCACGTTTCGTTTGCGATGATGGACCTCATTTCTGATTCCATTGCGGTGATCCATTCATCCGCTTCGGAGCTTCGCAGTGCTTCCTTGACTGGAATTTCGGCTAAATGAGCATGTTCCACGTTCGCATGATATAATATTGCCTTTTGGTACTGTTTCTTGGGCCTTCCCAGACCTTACTAAACGTGGCCTCCCTCTTCCCCTTCGAGACGGCGTTGCATCACCGTCGTTTAATTCCTCTTGGTCAGATGAACTTTCCTCGTCGTCGTGTACAACTTCCGGTTCCTCGGTGGCAATAGGAAGTTCGACCTCGCAATCCTCCAGACCTTCTGATAGTTTCTCATTTTGTGTACGGAAGTCCTCAAGGTCCTCACCGATTTGAATCTTGTAGTCCTCTAAAAATTTGACATCGCGGGATATATCTACTCGCCGTTCCGCCGGGATCCATATTCGATACGCTTTGGATTCCTCGGAATAACCGACGAGGATTCCCTTCTTCGATCGATCTTCGAACTTGCTTTTGTTCGGGTTCCTGTCTAGAGTATAGACGCTACATCCGAATTCCCGGAGATTACATAAGTTCGGCACCTCACCTTTCCATTTCTCGAAAGAAGTTTTTCCGCCTAAGTTACGCGAGGGACATCGGTTCCTTAGATAATTTGCGGTATTTACTGCCTCTCCCCAAAACGATGGCGGTAATCCAGATTGGATCAACAAACACCTCGCCATTTCTACAAGCGTGCGATTTCGTCTTTCCGCGACGCCGTTTTGCTCTGGGGTGTGCGTCACAGTCAACCGCCTACCTATGCCATGACTTTTCAAAAAACGATCGAATTCATTATTTCGATATTCCTTCCCGTTATCAGACTGAAGATATTTTATGCTCTTTCCGGTTAGTTTCTCAACGAAGGCTTTATAGTCCTTGAACGCGCCTAAAGCTTCATCTTTTCGTTTTAGCAATCGAATTTCGCACCACCTCGAGTAGTCGTCGATAAAGGTGACTATGTACCTAGCCTTGCCATTCGATTTTATTAGCTCTAAAAGTTTCGTACTCCTTGTCGACTTCGCCGGAAGAGGGGATCGCGCCATTTTGCCGCGAATACAAATTTCACAATCGAATTCATTTTTGGGAATGCCTAAGTCGATGCCTAGTAAATTTCCGTCACGAACACCATCTGCGAGATCGCGTACATTAAGATGGCCCATTCGTCGGTGCCATATCTCGAACGAGTCGCGCGCCTTTTTCCTTTTAATTACGGCGTTACATTCTGATTTCGCTTCGCGTAAATAATATAAGTCGTTTTTACGATCGGCAATGAGCGCTACTTTTCCTTGCTTATCGATCACCTTACCGAAATCTTTATCGAAAGTCATGGTGTATCCTTTATCTACGATTTAGCTAACTGAAAAAAGATTCGTTCGTAGCTTTGGAACAAAGAACGCGTCCCGCACACTAACATTTTTAGATTTACCGTTAACCTCCGTCGCGAACGAAATCTCACCTTTCGCCGTTATTTCGGTAGACGCATTGTTTGCGAGATTCACTTTTCCGCCTGTCACATTCGACAATTTTACAAAGTTGCGCGTATCTTTACATAAATGCGTGGAACATCCGCTATCCAAACACCAAGACACAAGCGCATTATTGTCTTTTGCCTCGAGCTCCGTCTGCGCAGGCATTTCTACCGATGACACGAACAAGCTCACGTCGTCTGCTTTCTGAGCCACGGTTTCATCAAGTGATGCTCGACAATCGGCAGCTTTGTGTCCCACCTCGTGACATCTATGGCATTTGTACTTAAAGACCTTGTCGTTCTTCGAGCTACGCTTGCTTGCCGCGCTGGCTGTCCTTTGAGTCGCGCTCGCTGTTCTGCTTGAGATTCGTGCGCCGCTTGACACGTGGTCCCTTGGCTACCATGGCGTTTGACGTGGATATGCGCGCGTCGGCCTTTCTGCGTCATATCGCGTCATATTCCTCTACGATCTTCACACGTAATACCTCTGGAGTGGGGAGACTGTCGCGAGACTCTATGGCACATCTGAAATTTTCGAAGCACGGCGGTAAACTGTACAACAACATAATCGTTAATAAATCATTGTTTATCTCAATTTCCATTTCTGAAAGTTTATCCACGGTATCGAAGAATTGATTTAGATGCTCACGAACGTCCTTTCCGTTTTCCATCTTATGCAAAGTCAGCTGCTTGAGCAGTGTGGCCTTTCGCGCGAGTCCGGTCGACTGGTACACGTCTTGTAACTTACGCCATACCTCGTTCGACGTTTTGCAGCCCTTGATCCGCTTCAACTCGGTCGGGCTTATTCCCAGGATGATGTCGGATTTCGCCTTCCGATCCTCTCTCTCCCACGCTTCCGCGGCCGCGACGCTGCTTGCATCGCCAGTCACTACCCGGGGCTTAGTCTTCTCTCCTGTTACGTACGCCCACGCGTTGCTTTTGACTAATAATGCCTCCATCTGGATCTTCCACATATCGAAGTTGTCTCGATTTAACGGCTCGATCCGTACAGTGTGATGGGAAGCCATCTTGATCCTCTTGTTGATGACGTCTTTACAATCAGACTTAACCGTGATTTCGCACCGCATGCGATTCCTCACTTCTCACGCTTTTACCGCGAACTCTGGGCCCATAACCTGTCGTTGCTAGGGTTGGCAGGGCGTGTGAGATAACAACACAAGCTCGAGTTTGATACCACAATTTGACAATCGAACCTTGTCCATCAGCCGTGCCAGTAGAAGCGCTGCAGATAGTTCCAACCTTGGAGTTAAGAATAGGTTTATTATTAAAGTCGAGCACGAGTGCGATACGGTACATCGGCACAAAGAGAATGACGAAAGAACGCAGATCAACGGCATGAACGATTTAAACCTGCGCATGACAAAACACTCGGTACATATTCGCAGATGGCGTGTACAATTGCTCGTGTATCGCATTTATCGACTTCAACAAAAAATATTTTTAATCACAATTTGAACATAATTCATTTCATTTTCTTTTGATAAGTAACTCCTTCTTTTGTTGAAAAATAAATCTATCTCTATCTATTTATCTTTTCTATTTCTTTTTAAAAATTTAATATGTCTATATATGTATGTATATATGTTTAAATATATATAATAATTTTTATTTATTAAATAAGTAATATTAATAAAAAAATTATTTGACAATTTTAACTTTAAAAAACTATTTTGTTAATCGAACCAAACATTTATTTCTTTTTAAGAAATATTTTTTTCGATTTGAAAAAACATTTCGTTAATTGAACCAAATACTTGTTCCTTTTTAAGAAATATCTTTTCGATACAAAATAACATTTTGTTAATGGAACAAAATATTTATTTCTTTTTAAGAAATATTTTTTTTATATAAAAAACCATTTTGTTAATCAAGAATCAAATATTTATTTCTTTTAAAAAAATTTTTTTTATTTTTAAAAAACCATTTTGTTAATCGAACCAAATATTTATTTCTTTTTATACATATCTTAATATATTTCTTTCGATTTAAAAAACCGTTTTGTTAATCGAACCAAATACTTATTTCATTTTAATAAATATTTCTTTCAATATAAAAAACCATTTTATTCATAAAACCAAATATTTATTTCCTTTAAAAAATCAATTTTTTAATCGAACTAAATATTTATTTCTTCTTAATAAATATTTTTTTTTATTTAAAAAACCATTTTGTTAATAGAACCTGTTAATGGATCTATGTGTGCTATGGCTGGCATTATAATCAGGTTTAGTGACTTCTGGAAAGAGGGCAATACAAGTATTTTTATGTTTAATTCTGTTTCCTATCTACATTATGTTTACTGCTCTATGTTCTTCTTCCGGTGGCGTCCGTCGTACGTGCAAAGCTTTCTCGTCTGATACGAGCAATAATTCAATTTGTTATTTTCAGTTATGTGACGCATGAAATATATCGTTTATTAATACAAGTTCTGTGTGTATATAAGTGCTTGTGTCTCGCAACCCACGATCCTCAATAGAACCAAATATCTATTTCCTTTAAAAAAATCATTTTGTTAATCGAACCAAATATTTATTTCTTTTTAATAAATATTTTGTTACA